TAAAAGAAGGGTTAGTTTTGCATTATCTAGGTATATCAATTCTCATCAACTATTGACAACATTTCATTTCAATTGAGAATCAAATTTTTTGGCCTTATGTTGCCACTGAAAGCACAAGAGGATTCTTCAAGATCTGTGGTCTAAAGATCATGGTGTTTAGGAATAGCATTAGAATTCTGACCATTAGTTAATCTTGGGTTTCAAAATAGTACTGAACTAACATTTGCACTAAAAAAAAACTAAATTAAAAAAAAAAAGTATTGAATGTTACATGTATCCTTGATCTAGCAATGTAATCTACCATTAGAAATATTTGAAATACATGAATGCTATATTATGAGGTACCAAAAAACCAATAAGAGCTGGATCTCTTGGCCCATTTCACTTGACTTTATCTGTTCCTAAAGAAGTGTGAAAAGAATGTTAAAAGATTTTTGTACTGAAAATTTGCTGAATAGTGTCATGAAATTTCACAAAATTAATTCAGGTAGTCCACTGTTGGATTATGAAAAAGTCATTACCATTCAGATATATTTTATTAGAAAAACTGATATTTGGACCAAAATGTTTGGTATGTATTGTGTTTTCTTGAAGAATACAATAAACTATTTTTACTATTGCCCATATCACAAATTTCAATTAATCTCCCTTTCATCGTAAACTTGAATAAATAAAAACTATCAAATAAATCATACCAGAAATGATAGTTGTCTTTGGTTTTAAAGGAAAATACTTACATGTACTGATGAGTAATTAATGGCACTTTTTCTTATCTTGAACATGCATTCTTTTGGTTAACGAACATTATAATAATTGGTTTTAGGGGAAAAGCGCTCAGAATATCATATTACATAGAGTTTTGTCTATTCAACAAAACTTGTCCTTGAACTGCAAAACTGAACTTACAAACATACTCTGACACCTTAACACAATATTGCTTTAAGGAATAATAAACAGTATGCTTGCCTTAACTTGTTGTGTGTTATATTCCAATGGAAAATGTTTCATAAGTATGTAGCCAGGTGATCAATAAATATATGCACTGAAGAATTTTCGTATAACGTTCATATTTTCTGGCAACAAAATTTGGAAGAATTTTTTTTATATTAAAAGTATTTTCATTACTACCACATTTTAATTATGTTAAACTCTTGTAATGTCTCAAATAAAGGGTCTCAACAAAGAGGACATGGTACACAATTAGCGATATTTATCAATCTATTATTGCTTCATTCTTTTACATTTCCTGTATAAAAATGCAGAATGAGAAATTTTTATTCAACATTTTTATGTTCACTGACAAATTTGTGCTCTGCTATTTTCTATTTCACTTTATAACATTATCACTTTGCAATATTAATTAAAACATAAACGTGACAGTCTATTCGATATTTCAAAATGAATGTTTTAAGAGTGCTTTATCTCAGAATGTGTGATTTATTTGTAGATGCAGTGTATGTGGATTATTTTATTTTCTAAATACCATTACAGTTGCTACAAATTTTAGAATCATACCAAAGAAACAATAAGGCTCAGTTGTAAAGCACATCCACCCCTGTTGCATTTTGCAGTGATAAGGACACTTGAATATCAGAGCCACAATATTCATTGTTAAGTAATGATATCAGAGCACATGTGACATCTTAAAGAAGTCTTCAAGTTTTATTCTAGATTCTGAGCAAACAGAAGAGTTTGTTATGAAAAATCAATGTATTGTTTTATCTGTACGTTGAAAAAATTAGTATCATATAACATTTACATTTACTCACTGTGAATAGATCTCTAAAATACAAGTGCAATCCTTATTTTATCACTGATCTCAACAAGCAAAGAATTTTTGAAAATCTAGCTTTTACACAAAAAAAAAAAAAAAAGGATAGAAAGAAAACATTTTCCATGGGAATTATCATTATTTTATTGAAAGACATCTCCAGTAGCTGTCTATATTCTCACAATTTCAAGATAAAAATTGATGAGTCTTATAAAATGAAATTTATGTTAATTGAGTTGTAATATACATTTTTTAACTTGTACTGCTGTTGATTAAGTACAGTGTTGAACCAAAAGATTATGAAATAATTGGTGATTCCTGCTATGTCCAAATCTTTTTTCTTTCAAGTTCAGTATTTTGTTACTATGAAAATGTAGTAGTTTCCAGGTCTAGAAACATTCTTGCCTCATCACTAATATTAATCTAGGCCAAACTTGTGATAGTGAGAATGTTTTCTATTTGGTGTATGCTTTAAATTCCATGCACATACTTGCTAATAATGCCATAATTCAAAACGTATTTTTGAGATCTAAAAAACTAGGTAGTTATGTTTGTAACTGCAAACAATGCAGCAACATGCATATAATAAAATATTTTATATCAATTTATTTCACATTTCTTTCCCACAGCGCTTTAACTTCTAATCAGAGCCAGCACCTCTGAGACAGTTTATTACATACTAATGAACTATTCCCTCAGCTTCAGAGCTCACATTGGCATAAACTACGCTTGTTAGTGCTGATTACGCAGTCAAATGTACACCACTTCTTGGACACCCCCGAGCGCCCTGGTCCCACCATCAGGCACTGGAAGGCAGGGTGCTCACCCCTATGACCAATAACTGAAAACTAAAAATATCTTCTGATGTACTCATCTACAAATATTTGAATTTTCTGATTATATACCACCCAAAGAACAGAGAAAAACGTTTTTTGAACGTATGTGCTGTCCTCAAATGTATAAGTACAGTTAAAATATACACGATACAGATAATTGTTTGTATTATTATACGAACGTAATATATTGCACAATGAGATAATCTTGTAGTGTGACAATTTTCGTGCTCACACGCCGAAATAACACGTGTACGGATAAAATTATCTAAAACTGTGTGGCAAACTGGTGCTTCTTAATATTAGTTTGTTAAACGTGGCAAAACATATAGCAAACGGAAAACGTTCGCACTCTTGAGTTCAGAACCGTCGATGGAAATCTCGTACAGAGAACAACATGACAAAACGTAGTACGGACTTAACGAATACCGCTCACAAGCCAGCGTGGTGTTCAGTTGCACGTTCGTGTTCCTCGAAGAGGAGTAACGTCGAAACGAAAGAGAAAAGAGAGAGAGCGACTTCAGAGGTCGGAGGAGGCGCGGGCGGCGCCGGGGCGGCGGGAGGCCGGCGCGCCGCAGCTCTGCGAGATGGTGTGAAGCGGCGACGGCGCTTCGGCGGTGGACGGCGGGGAGAGCAGCGGGTGGTGCGGCGGCGCGGCCGCGCGCGGCCGCACCAATT